GGATAGAGGCAGTCCATACGGTTGTCTACCTTATTAATCGACAAACTACTATAATTCTTGATCATCAATTGCCATATTCTTGTCTTTTTCAAAATCACCAGACTACTTGTATCTTCGGGTTTTTGGTTATGTTTGCTTTGTGTTATTACCTCCACATGAGTGAATTAAGTTATCTGCAAAGGTTGCCAAATGTGTTTTTCTCGGTTATAGTGATACACAAAAAGGTTATGTTTGGTATGATCCCTACCATTAACGTATGTGTGTATCTCGTCATGTCATTTTTTTTTTTTGAAAATATATATTGTTATTATATGTCATCTTCTAGTCCAACAGATTCAGGTTCTTCTAATTCCTTTTTATATGATTTCTCTAATCCACATACCAAGGATAATGAAGTAACGTCTACAATGCCATTTAATGATTCTAGTTTTGAAGGTCCTTCCTCCACAATTGTCATTGATGAAACAACACCATATCTGCCATCTTCGAAAAAATCCATCTGTGTTAATTTTGGTAAGCCACTTATTCGGTATACCTTATTTACTAATCTCAATTATGCCAAAGATTCCTTCTACTTTTAACTAAGCAACATAACAAACATGTTGGAGAAAAGTAATGGAAGAAGAAGTTGAGGCATTGGAGGAGAATCATACTTGGTATTTAGTTCCTCAACCACCTGATACGTTGGTAATAGGAAGTAAATGAGTCTATACCGTTAAGGTCAACCTGATGGTACTTTAGATCGATACAAAGCTCGTTTGGATTTATAAGTAAGGATATAAGTAAGTGGATTTATACCATTATGGCTAAGATGACGACTATCCATACCCTATGTGCTGTAGCATTATGTAAAAAATGGACGTTGCATCAATTAGATTGAAAAATGCTTTTCTTCATGGAATTTTGAAAGAAACAGTTTATGTGGAGTGCCCTCTTGGTTACTTTCATACGGATCCTAATATGGTTTGTTTACTCCGTAAATCCCTTTATGGCCTTAAACAGGCTCCTAAAACATGGTTTCAAAAATTTCAGTCAACTGTTTGTTCAGCTGGATTTCAACAAAGCTCTAATGATCACTCACTTTTTATTCGACATTCTGATGCTGGTATGGTTGTGTTAGTTTTTTACATGGATGATATAGTTATTACTGGTAGTGATCAACAAGGCATTGAAGAGTTTAAGAAATTTCTCAATGATTCCTTTCACATGAAAGATCTTGACAAGCTCACTTATTTTCTCAAGTTAAAAGTTTCATATTCCTCGAATGGCATACTTCTCGCCCAACGTAAGTACATCGAAGATTTACTCAAGTTGGTCGATCTTAATGATAATAAAATTTGTGCCACTCCAATATAACAACATTTGAAACTAAAAAGAGATGATGGTGCACTTATCTCAGATCCATTATGTACCGACGCTTGATAGGCAGTCTAATTTATTTAACTATCACACGTCCTGATATCTCGTTTACTGTCCAAGTTGTGAGCAAGTTTGTTTCTCAACCTAGACGATATCATCTTTTAGCTCTTCATTGTATTCTTCGTTATTTGAAAGGTACTTATGATCGTGGGCTATACTTTCCATCTAATATATCACTCATTCTCACTGTTTATACAAATGTAGATTATGTTGGGTGTGTTGATACTCGACATTCTACTATAGGATGGTGTATTTTCTTAAGTGATTCTCTAATCTCTTATAAGTGTAAGAGCAAGAATGGGTCTCAAAATCTTCCATAGAAGCTGAATATCGGTTCATGTCATCTATAAGTTCTGAAATTGTATGGCTCCAACAGCTTTTCAAAGAGCTTGATGTTAATTGTCCTCAACTGATCACACTCTTTGAAGACAACACTAGTGCAATTAGCATTGCCATTAATCCTATGATTCATAAGCGGACGAAACATATCAAAGTAGATTGTCATTACATCTGTGAACTTGTTCATGATAAATTCTTCATCTTGTTCACATCTCCTCTCATGATTGAATTGCTGATCTATTTACAAAAGTCATGCCTTTTGCACAACATGCATATCTTGTGAGTAAATTGATGTTGGTTGACCAACACCATCAATTTGAGGGAGAATATCAAGAGGAATAAATTTACAGATTTGCAAGTAATAAATTTATAGATTTATAAGTAATAAATTTACAGATTTACAACCAGATTTATAACCAATCAATTCTCATATTTATAGTCTGACTCTTAATATTTAGAGATTCTAATTGTATATTTATAATTAAATTTTTTTTATTTATTAAATTACTGTAATTAGACAAATTTCTTTGTATGTATATATATATATATATATAGAGAGAGAGAGAGAGAGAGAGCTCTATAGCCTTGGAAGTATAAATGGAAAAACCATTATAGCTATTCAAAGTTTATTAATGTCTAATTAATTGTTTTCTAAAATAATACAGGCTATTGCCTACAACTTGAGAACGGCGAATTTCGTGATGATCGGAATTGTTGCAGAAGATTTTAATGGTAAATTTGTTACATATTCAGTTTTTGATAAACTGATCAAGAAAAAAAATTAACCTTCGAAATCCTTGCATCTTAAAGACTCACTAAATTCAACAGTAAATTATCTAGACTTCAATTCAAACTGTTCATCCATCAAGTTTAACCAAATAAATGTCTTATAAATTTATAATTAGGGTACAATCAAGATGTAATCCAATTATTTATAAGTTTAATCCATTAAATAGAAATAACTTTTCATTTAATGGTCTACCAACTTGGCAACAACCGAAGAAGAAACAATCAAGAATACAATCCCTTTGTTTAATATTTAACTTCTGTTATTGTAAATTTTCATTTTTAATGCGTGTGGCTTCCTGATAACATTATTTTCTATTACCGGCATATCATTTTTTTAAAAGAGTAATACAAATAAAATAACAATGAACTATAAATTGTTTTAAATTTTGTCCTTGATTTTATCCTTATTATAATTACCCATTTATTGTAGTTGTATTGTTTTTTTTTTTTTTTTTTTTTTTTTTTTTAAACTTTTTAAGTTTTCTTTTAACTAGTTGCCCCATTAATAACTTTCAAGTAAATCACCGGTCTAGTCCTTGGTCCTTGGTCCTTTTTTTGGCTTGTTGGACTGTAGAGTTGAGAGGTCCGGAAACACATATGAACTGTTCTGATGTTAGAGAAATCTATTTTTTTTTTTTTTATGAACTTTAAATATGTATATATATATATATATATAGATATATAGATGACAGGCGAAGATTTGGCATATAAATGGTAAAATGGATTATGAATCTTGAAGATTTGACCTTCAACATTCTATTGTTATCAAAATACTGACCCAAAATAATAATCCATGTTTGTAACCAGCTCACCTGATTCATGAACTAGGTTGTTCCCTGGAATTGATTTGGGATTAAAATCAATGTTATTATCATTTGAAAATTTGTGGAGCATATTGGATTGTTAGTGTCTTGTATGGTCTCCAATGAGTTGTTAGGTCAAATGTAGAAAATAATTCGGGAGTTACCGACAACCAGATGCCTCGTTTGAGTAATATGAGCCTTGGAGAGAGAGTTTGCACAGATTCAAGCCAAACCATATAGAAGTATTTGTTTGCAAAGAACAGAGGAACCATAGTGCTAACCACAAAATGGCGCTGCTTTGTGGTGACCTTATCTGTTTAATACAATAATATTCCACCATGATGCTGACCAATTTTGTCAAGAGGCATTTATAATCAGATCAGGATCATTTAAAAGGTTCAAGGTTTCTACCTGGAATCATCAGGATGAAGTCTTCCAATCTTTCCATGTATGGAGAAAGCCATCTACATGACCCATACAGCCAAGTTGATACTTTTGCAGAGAGCCTCAGTTCAGGCATTACCAGCAGCATGCCAACTTTACCACTATCACAAAAAAAAAAAAAAAAAGGAAAAAAGAAAAACATCCATTTCTGTGTTTAATTAAACCATGTCAAATGTAAAGATAGAAACTAAATGATATACAGAGGAGAAGAGAAGTCATTACTTTTTCCTCAAGAGTTTCTGATCCATTTGGGCTAAAAAATTGAAATCGCCACTCCCTGACAGCATTGTATGATCTTATGATACCTGTGTGATTACTGTTGGACTCCTAATTAAACCCTATCTCAAAAAAAACAAAAAGTCATTTCTCGAATGAATTTGTTAGTTTCTCGAGACAGATTTTCCAACAAACATCCCTTTGGCTATACTACCTACCTAAAAAAAGTCTTGTCACTGAGAAAGGTGTGGCGGACCATAATACACCATTCCTGGTGGCTGAAGTGGTCGAAAATTTGGTGGTGCCGGTGGTTGCTGAGTTAATGGTGCTAGTTGCTGATAGGCTAATGGAGGTGGCTGCTGTGCCGAAGCAATTGGATGTTGTGGAGTAATTTGCATTGGCTGCTGTGTCAAAGGCATCATTGGATTCATCATATGAGGTGGAGGTGGTGGTGGTGGCCCCGGCGGCAGTGGGGGAATACTGCCATACACGTAAGGGGCCATGATCCCTCCTGATGGCTGCAGATACTGCTGTGAAGGTGTATTAGGAAGAATGTGATATTGACCTTGAGAACTAGGAGCCTGGTTCTGCATGCTTGGTTGTGGCACCATAACCGACTGGTATGAGTGTTTTGGTGGAGCAGTAAGAGATGATGTTGGTATAAATGCATTAAGATCCATAATTGGCAAGGACTTCTCAGATTTCATCACTGAATCATCGGATGAAGATGTTAACTTGGACACTGTGGAGCCCTTTGTTAGACCAGCATTCTTTGCCTCTTCAGCTGCAAATGTGGAAAGAACTGAATGCATGATCATCTGAGAGGAGCTAGAGGCTGCAAGTTTGTCAGCAACCTCAGCTGCGATAGCAGCAGCTGTCCTCTTTGGTGTCTCTCCAGCTTTTGAATTCGTATCAATTGGTAGGGCCGTTTTAATAGATGGTTTGGACAAATAGTCTCCATTGTTGAGCCGAGCTCGTATGTTGCAGGCTTCATCTGCCTGAGCCTCTGCTACCTAAAATAGAATAAGGTAAATATAAATATATTGGTTAAACTGCTGCTAGCATCCTAGCACACATGCAAAGCAAAGTATTTTGTGGCTGTCAACGAAATAGATTTCACCTGCAAATTCACCTAGACAATTAACCATTTAGATCAGCTAGATCTCCCCCTCCCACACCCAAAAGCGAATTGAAATAAAAGGGGAAGCTAACACAGTTGTAGGAAAAGATCTCTACTTTTTGTATTTTCACCTAAATATGCTATCAACAGATAAATTCAGATTCTTCTCTTAAAAGAAAAAGGAAATTTAGATACTTCAAATCCAGAAGATCCTAATGCAATCAGTGAAGTTTATCTAATGTCATGATCTCCTGTAGATATTCCAAAAAGTTTTCTAAGCCAACATTCCGGAGCATCTATCATTGTCCACTTAACTCCAAAGATAGGTCCAATAAGAATCAGCATAGAAATTAACATTATTACAATTGAAGTCAAATGTTACAGCATAGGCCATAATTTTGAGATATAACAAACAAATGTCAGCAGTCAAAATGAGTAAAGTTCAGCCATTACTCAAAAAGTCAACAAGCTAAAGTATTATTCAATTTTCAATCTTAAATTCTCATTTTCGCTAAGTTGCATGCCAAATAACAGCATCAATGCTGGCAACTCTCAATTGTTGAGAGCAAGTTATCATGATTGGATTCAGTAGTATGCACATAACACCAAAAAAACCAAAAGTACATCATGAACACAGACAAATGAATTTTTTAGATGACTGCCTATTTTCCACATACTAAATGAAGGGAAATACGAATAATACCTGCATTTGAGTTCGAATGTTCTCCAGTTCGGATTCCTAAAAGAGTGTTTCAGAAAGTAAGAACATGAAATATCTTTTAAAATCAATCTTCCAAAACTCGGAAGCACATGAAATAGTTAAATAAACTAGCAGTCTGGCTAGCGGTAGAAGAGCATAGATTTATATGCAATCATGATAATCAATTGACCAACCAATTACCTGCTCATGAAGGGCTTCCTTCAGCTGAGATATAAGTGCTAGTCTACTAGCTTCAACTGATTTAAGTTTCTCAATACACTGTTTCAAAAGATTCTCTTCTTCTTCTAGTTCTTTTGTTAAAGGTTTGCATTTTGGCTCTTGTGCTGAAAAAAATAGCTTCAGATATCAACAGATGGAAAATTATATCATGAAACTTGAATAATGAAAGAAAACAACCATAACAACCATTTTAATACACATTGCAAAGAAAACCTCTCTTTTCCTTTAAGCTAAGGAATGATTAACATTACCACTAGTATAGGCAATGTCAATATTCTTCTCGATCTTTCTAATACGATTAACTGCAGACTTGCATTTACTCATCTCTGCCTCTTCATTGGGATATTCACTTAGCACCAAGTGAAATGCCGATATAATTTTTTCAGCCGCACCTCCAATGGTCAATTTCTGGTTTCAAGCATATCGTAATACTCATAACCAACACACAATGAGGAAACAAAGAAAAATGAAGAATATTCAATACAACACTTAATTTCTTTCTATCTCCAAAAAAAAATACTTAATTTCCAAAACAACCGATGCTAGAGAATGAGTAAACTAAAGAAATGAAGTCTAGGATTCTAACCGTTCTAATTGACCGTGAATCTCGTTTCATAATTCTAACAGAGCGTGAACGTTTTCTGCTGAATTCAAGGGGGGGCACTGCATCTTCGCCAAGCATCACATCCTTTAGGCTAATCGCATGGGATCCAAATACCCTCCGTTCTTCCCATATATTAACCTAATAAATTTTCAACTATAAGATTACCAAAAGAATCCTCACATAATGTAAGGTAAGAAAGCATATAGCATATAAGATTCTGTGTGCAAACAATATCTATGAATCAACAAACACAAATTTTACAGCATGCTCCATTTCTTGAAATATAGTGTTTTTCTGCTGCGCCACTAAACATCGAAGGGTTAACACAAGTCAACAGACAAATGCATGCACTAACAGTCGAGTTCCGACAGTTTGTTGGAATTGGTAAGTAGACATATAAATCAACAATAATTTAGAATACTACCAAATTCAACTCCCAAAAAGTAAAAGGAAAAAGCAACAGTGTAGACCACCATCAAATTCCAAAAAATAAACTAAATCACAATTAAAATTATGTTACTTTACATCCAATTTTAGTTATGAAGGAAGAAAAATGAAACACGTGTAATTACATCATTCTTTTAACTCAGGTAACCCAGACAAACAAAAAAGAAAAGAAATTACCAATCTAGACACCACTTTCTTCCCATGATCATCACCCTTCATAGCAACATCTTTGAGAGCAGCTGGAAGAACTTTCCAAAATTCAGCAACAAATTCATTTCCTTTACGCCTGCTATTCTGCAAGATGTCATTTGCAAGATACAAAAGAGGAACTTTTTGAACCATTTGTGAACTGTGGAACTGCTTATCCCATGTTGCAACAACCAGTTCAGCTTTGCTTCGATGAAATATACACCAATGTGAGAGTGCTAGATAAAAAGGTCAAGATAAACATTCTATACAGAATCAACTGTGTTCACTACCATTCCATGAACAAATTCTTTAATAGAAAAAATATAGATTTTTTTTATAATGAAAACAACTGCGAAACACTATACTTTAAGAAACGATTTTCCAATCATTTTTTCCTGACCAACATGCACTAACATAACAAATTACAAGGGGAAAAACCAAGAACAATAGCATTATCATTATTGATCTAATCATTGTGAATATCAAACAGAACAAACTTCCAAACTGGTTATTCACCCGTTGTTATCATAGAAGCAGAAGTACCCATCTGAAGTAGAATCTTGCTATCAAAGATGACACATCTTACAACTGGTATATAATCAGTGGTTCTATCTCACTGTTACTCAACAGACAACGGAGAAGGAAGGCAAACATAAGACTAATACGGGAGCCATCAACACTCAACCAGATACTCAAAAAAGCATAACTTGCAGGACAACAATTTAGACCTTCTTAATCATCATTTACCTCCTGAGCGCAGCAACCACATTCAGGCAAAGCATCACAACATGAACATATAACAAATTTTTGTTCGAACCACTCAACAATTTAAAATAGCCATAAAAGGAATGAAGGCGTCCTAATCAATAAAATAAACCAATAAGGAAAAAAAAAAGAACCAATCAATGTTTCCAGAACTTGCAAAGAAAGGATACTTTCAATACACTGTTGAGTGCTATTGAGCTTGGAGAGTTTGTCTGCCAGTATTTGTTCGCTGAACACACTATTCATCCCACCGCCAAACAATGCCTCCCAGCATCCACCCCAAAAAACAAATAACGAAAAACCCTAAGCAGCTGTAACTTTAAAAGAAGAAGAAGCTCTCTTAAAAGTATAAACGTGGTTCAGATAAATGTACAAGAACACAAAGTTGAAAACGGATAAGCAACCTAAACTGATCAAGATTTGGGCGTTATATTCTGAAAATTGAAGAAAGAAAACACTCAGTTGCAACAGCAGGAACTGCAGTCTTCAAAGTTGAGCGAATGCGGAGGACGGAAGAAAGCGAATACGCTGCTGGTCTGGAGGTAAGAAGCCCTAAAATGGTGGAAATAACTTAAATTGAAAGGACGAGGGGCGGGGAAATTAAGAGAGGTGGGTTATGAGATAGATTTATCAGGGTTCTGAAATGGATTCCAATAGGCTCTAGAAATGATTCTGTAGTGAAAGAGAGAGACGTTTCAAAAGAGAGGAAAAGGTTATGGAGAGAGGAGAGAAGGAGATGCCGAGTTGCTGCAGGAAGGAGTTTTGTTTTTGTTTTTGTTTTTTTTTTTAATAAAAAATAAATTAAAAGTTCTTACCCGCTCTTTTGTCATTATCTGTCCTGGTTGGGGGTGGATAATTGTCTACTATTAGATGTCAAAAAAATCATCTACCATTAAAAAAACTTAAATTGGTCTATACACTATTTTTCAATTTTAACAACATACAAAACACCATTAGACAGATGTATGCGTAATTTGTTATGTATATATATATGAGCATTAGGTTTTAACAACACTGCAAAAGAGCAAGCTAATAATAGAAATATATATATATTTTTTTTATCCATAGACATTGGTTAATAATATCAAATACATCATTAGTAATAAGCATATGACGTCTCAGTACCACTATCATGAGTATAAACATAGTCACACATAATTTTAAAAACATATCGCGGTTGTACAGTCCATCCTTTACAGTTCATTATTTACAATAATAATATGAGATTTTACATATCAAATTTAAAGTATCAGATTAAATAAAATATGAGTAAAATACCTTTAGATACATATTTCACTAAATTCTACCTTGGGTCTCTTGCTTATATCCCTCAATGGGTTAGAACTTGTTTTGGGTTCTCCTATTTTATAAATTGTCACTGTAAATTTAGGTGAGATTCACTTTCTCATTAAATGTGAGATAGTAATCTATTAATAGAGGTATAACTACATACAATCATACCATAATAACTAAATGAATGCAATTATCGAAAAAAGTATTGAGTTTTAAACTATTGAAAACTTCATAATATTGTTTTTCTATAATTATCTTTACTTAGGTTTCCCTTATTTATTTCCATCACTTAGTTCTCTTTCCTATATTCTTACTGCATTTTTCAAAAGATTTATTACATCTTATCTAATCATATTTTAATTTTTCTATTCTTTGTTAATTTATGTGTTTACCTTATGTGGTTATTAGCTTTATTATCC